TGAAACTCTCCCTGCTGATTCAAGCAAATAAGTTCGTCGCTACGGCGACGACCACATTTTGAAAGCCAGCCGCGCTCCATGCAGTGAGCTCTTACAAACGCTTGCAAGGAATGCGCACCAGCGCTAAAGACGAGAACAACATTGTGAAAACGACCCGCCCCCCACCCGTGAACTTCTCGCAGCCGTTTGAAACGAATGTGTGCAGCGCTGAGGCGAGAACCACATTCTGAAAACGAACCGCCCTCCGTCCGAGAAGCTCCTGCAGACTGTTCTGTTGCAGCGAATGCGCGCGGCACTCCGGCGACATGCACATTTTTTTTTTTTTTTTTTTTTTTTTTTTTTTTTTTTTTTTTTTTTTTAAAAAAAAAAAAAAAAAAAAAAAAAAAAAAAAAAAAAAAAAAAAAAAAAAAAAAAAAAAAAAAAAAAAAAAAAAAAAAAAAAAAAAAAAAAAAAAAAAAAAAAAAAAAACGCCGCCCGTCCGTGAACCTCCTGCGCATCTAAGAGGCGCAGGCGGGCGGGCGGCGAGTGGGCCGGAGCCACACGCCGACCACCGCTTGCTTCACCCTCCACCCGCGAAGCGCCCCCGCACGCTCCCGAGACACGAGCGCGCGGCGCTCGGGCAGGAGCCACGCCTCTGCACGGGAGCCGCCCCTCCGTCCGCGCGCATGCCGCGCGAACTCTTGAGCGGCGCGCGCGCAGCGCCGGGGCGAGAGCCACGCTTTGAAGGCAGCCCGCCCTCCGCCCATGCAGCGCATGGCAAGCTCTCAGGGCCGCACGTGCGCGGCGCTGCGGCGGGAGCCGCATCTTGACAGCGGCGCGTCCTCCGCTCGCGAAGCCCGCGCAGACTGTCAAAACACACGTGCCCGGCGCTCCGGCGAGGGCCACGTCTTGACAAGGATCCGCCCGCCGTCCGCGAAGCGATCGCGAACTTTGCGGAGGAATGCGCGCATCGCCAAAGCGAGAACCACATCTTGAAAACGGCCTGCCGTCCATCCGTGAAGCTTCTGCAAACTTTGAAAGACGAATGTGCGCGGCACCAAGGTGAGAGCCACATGTTGAGAACGAACCACCCTCAATTCGTGAAGCTCCTGCTAAATCTAAGCTTCAGATGCAACAATCCGCCGATGCGGCGTGTGAGGTTGAAAAAGCCACAGTTACAGACTAGAGCCTGAGCTTCAGCTTTGCTGCAGGAGGGTGCCAGGATGGCTCTGCCGGGGAAAGGGGAGGAGGACCCCCCTGCTCCGCCTGTGCTCCGCTTTCTTGGTACAACTAAGGACCGCTTAGGCCCAACACATTCGCTGAGCGATCGGGCCCTTCCAACTCCTACCCCTGTCTCCTGCCTCCCTGCCGCTCCGCACCTCTCTCCCCAGGGGAAAGGAGGGGAGGACCCCCCCTCCCCCTCCACCAAAAAAGTTGTACGCCACGCGCTTCCATGGAATGCCATCTGTGCCCCACCTGGGGGTGAATCTGGATCTATGCCGTGTGATGTCAGATCGACACCTGTCAAGACGTCGCCTGCTCGCGCAGGAACTGAAGAAGAGGATCAGCAGCAGCAGCAGCAGCGGCACAATAAGCACAATAAGAAGAAGGGCGGAAGAGGATGCACATGAAAATGAATTTCTATCATCTGTGCATGCATGCCACTGGCCACTACCAAAGACGCAAGACGAAGTCCTCCTGCAACAAATGCGAACAAACGGGAGAGCCGCGGCCAGCCACAGCACAGGACCGAAGAGGAAGGGAAGTGTAGAGGTGAAGGTGCGCGTCGAAGAAGAGAGAGCGCAAGAGAGAGAGAGAGAGAGGCCGAGGCGGAGGGGGAGCAATAGATGTACTGGAGATCGAGGTGGGAGTTTAGGTGCAGAAGGCGGGGGCGGAGTTGCAAGGGGAGTTGGAGGTGGAGGTGATGGAGGAGGAAGAAGAGGACGCCTTCTCAAAGTCGAGCTGATCGACCTCCAGGGCCTCCGCCAGCTTGACAACGGGGTCGCCCTCACGGAGCAGGAGGGAAAAGCGGAGAAAGCATCGATGGGGATAAGACGCGTTCAGGGGGAGGAGGGGGAGGTGAACGCAGGATTAACGAAGAGGCGGAGGGAGCACAGGAGGAATAAGTAGAAGAGGGAGATGGAGCGCGAGGAGAGACGGCGGAGGGACGGAGCAGGGAGCAACAAGAGAGTTTAAAGACGGAAAAGAAAGGATGGTCACGCTGATGGTAATAACCAAGGCGCGTACGTTCGAGACCCCTCGCCGCCTCAACAACTGGCGTTCTACCTGAAAGTTCCCACCACTCTGAGCGCGAACCGTCTCGTGCAACACCTCAGGTCGCTTTCCTCCGCCCCCAATTGGGGTGGCAATGGTACTTTGGCATGGGGCCACTTCGTCCTCCCCAATGCGGGCGTTCCTTCTCATCCTCACACTGTTGAGGATCAACTGGGACCCAATCGAGGCCTCGGTATGGTCATATGCGTCACTACACGACACGGCGGAGGAGTGGCAGTTTCCAATCTCGAATTATACAGAGAACCATTTTGTAGATTCCCATGCAGAGCTTTTGAAAGGCATCCGCAGGTTGGCAGAACTGTTTGTATGGAAGCAAGCGAGCAGCCACTATTGTGGAGGCGGTACTGAGCACGGGGTGGACAATGCTTCTTTCAGATTATTGTTGCGACAAGTCAGTCACTTGGAAAATTGCCCCCGACTTGCAGGGCCGTCAACCAATATTGGCACCGGGGGCTTTTGGCCACGCCAAAGGAAGAAGGACACGATGACTAAGTATACCGCCCCCGTGCACTGCGACAAGTGCAAGGCCAAGCCCGAGACGGCCATGCACAGAGCGTGGGAGTGCGAGGCCAACACAAGAGCTCTCCCATATGGTGCTTCAGAGTCCTTGGTCCCCGAGGCGATGACCCAAATCAACCTAGCGGAATGCTACTGGCTCAGGGGCCTTCTCCCGAAGGCTTGGACTGCGGTCACGGCCCCGCCAGGGGCCGACGACTGGGCTGTCACGGGGATCAACGAGGTTGCCGCTGGAGTTTTTGGGAACGGTTCCAGAGAGGAGCCCATCACTATCTTCGGGGATGCGAGAGGGGGCCCCGACTCGGCCCTCACAAGATTTCGGAGAGCTGGGGTCGCCATCGTCGTCGTGTCCAGGCTCATCACAACGATCGAGATCACAGGCACCATATTTGGCCCACTGGCTGGCCCCAGACAGGTCGTCGCACACGGTGAACTGTTGGCGCTGTATATGGCTATCTGGACCACTCGGAGGCTTGTGATTTTCACGGCGGATTGCGAGATGGTAGCAAAAGGATGGTACGAGAAGCGATATGAAAATCCAACGGGCAAGGACGCTGACGTATGGCACAAAATTGTAGACTTAATGAAAAGTAGGCTGCACCACAAGATTGCTGTGATTTGGACCCACTCCCATATGAGCGGGGAAAACATATACGAAGGTCGTGCCATTCGCCAACTGGTTTTGGGCAATGCATTAGCAGACGAATTTGCTGGATATGCTGCCGCTAAAGCCCGCCTGCCCCAGGCTGAAAGATCGAGAGCATTGTTGCATGAACGTAAAACGTACCTCATCACAATGAGACTGTTGAGAGCGAGCCTGGACAGCATCTGGGCAACCCAAGAAGCAGAGATCGAGGAAAAGAAGCGTGCCCGTGAGGTCCCGCCTCCTCCTCCTCCGTTCCCCCTCCCCCTTCTGCTGCTGATAACGTCTCTGCTCTCATGTCATCACACCGCGTAGCCGAATGTCGTCGGCGGCGCCTGCGTTGCCAAGGCTCGGCTACCCTAGCCACAGCCGGTGAGTTTCGGGCATCAGAGTGCCCAGCGTTATATAATGTTGACGGGGTCATTTTCTCGCCCCCCAGAGGGACCAGAATTCATACAGCGGGGGGCTGGGCACACACTACGCACACCCTGAATGTCCACCCGACCCTTTAGGTCTGGTTCTGTAGTGTTTGCGGGGGGATTGCAGATAAGGTTTTGCGATCCCTCAAAGTCCCATGTGGGGGAAGAAATGTCCAAGCACGGCAGCGAATTTCTTGACAGCATCTCTCGGCGGTTACAGCCTAAAGTCCTGAGCCGAGCCGAGCAATCGTCTCGACGTTCGAGCGGCCAGGCGTGATGTGGTCATTTAGTAACGAGATCTTGCTTCCGCAACGGGGTCCACTCCACTCCACTCCACTCCACTCCTCTCCTCCTCCTCCTCCTCCTCCTCTCTCCTCCCTCCTCCCTCCTCCTCTCCTCCTCCTCCCTCATCCTCTCTCCTCCTCCTCCTCCTCCTCCTCCTCCTCCTCCTCCTCTTCTTCTTCTTATTATTATTCTTATATTATAAATCTTCTTCGTATTATTCTTCTTCGTCTTCTTCTTATTGGTATTATTATGATTTGTTCTCCTCCTCCTCCTTTCCTCCTCCCCTCCTCATCCTCCTCCTCCTCCTCCTCTCCCTCTCCTCCTCCTCCTCCTCCTCCTCCTCCTCCTCCTCCTCCTCCTCCTCTTCTATCCACCCACCCCTCACGGTCGGGGAGCCTCCTCCAAGATCTCCGCCATGGCGTCACCCGGCTCCAGCATGGCGGCCTTCTCCCGGCCGGCCACGTTGCAGCTCTCGTTGGCGTCGGTGAGGACGGCCTCCAGAGGGAGGAAGAGGAGGGTTTTTTGCAGTGCACCGCGCACGCCCAGGCTCCTAATCGCGGCGGCCGCGCGGGACTGAGACGCCCGGGTTGAACCGAAAATGGCTCGAAATTATTCTCCACGTTGATGAAGTAGTCAATGCAACGACCTATGATGTACATGGAGGCCGTGCCGATCTTCTTCAAGCTATGTAGCCCAAGCGCCTCCGGACCGCCAAACGATCAGTGCCCAGGGTCGCGAGCTGGTCCTCCGTGTACTGCCTCTTCCCGCCCTGCTCGGGCCCGATGTGGCCCTTTTTGTCGGGGTCGCCGAAGACCTCCACGTCGGACGCAAAGCGGTCCGCAGTGCCGCCCGTGGCGAGCCCCTCGGCGTCGAAGTTGAAGGTGGGCTCGAGGTTGTCCTCGAAGTCATTCTTGGAAAGGGGCTGGAAGTCGCCCTCGGTGTCACTCTTCAGGATGGGCGCGAAGTCGCCCGCGAAGGAGGGCTGGAAGTACTCCTCGGTGTTGCTGATGGCGGGCGGGACAATGCCCTCCGAATTGTCGAACTTGCCATTGATGATGTCGTCGAAAGTGGGCTCGAACTCGCCCTCGACGCCGCTCTCGATCGGTGACCTCCTCCAACGTGTGTACTGATCTGCTGGCATGAACGTCTTTGCGTCGACATTGAAGCCGTGACTCTTGCAAACCATGGTAGGCCTGGTCTTCTCCTCTACGAGGTGCAGAATGCCAGGCGGGACGAGCCCAATCCCTCCCCCCTCAAACGCAACGCTTAGGGACCGGCTTAGATCCACTCCCGCGCAACGG